CACTCTTTCTCTTCCTCGCCCTCCTTAATGGCTCTCAATAATTTGTAATTCTAATCCTTGAGCTGTGCCCAGGTGCCAGGGGAAATCTGGCCACCGGCTATTCATTCTTCTGTCCCTGGGTCAGAAGTTCTTGAATCTTGAGGACATGGGAGCAGAGTGTTAATAAGAGAATAGATGAGCTAAACTGTGGTGCAACTGAAGGGGAAGAACCTAGCAGGGATTACGGGAAAGAACAGAAGTGATCTTTTTCATACTCCAGAGTTCATTCTGAGATTGGTTTCCTAATGAGGTGTTTATTATCCACAGTCTGAGAGCATGTTTGGAAATATCAATACTATAATTCCAAAAACTAGGCCAACTGTCTCAGGCTGTGCATGTAAGATGATTGTAAAAAGAATGGGGAAGACAGCAGGGAAGAGGAGAGGCAAGTGTCTTTAAGTCTCCTGCTTTGCATGCATAAATCCCTATTTATCAGCATGTGGATTCCGGCCACAGCCAATCGACACTGTCTGCCGAAGGCCAGAAACTCAGGGGACTAGAAGAACATCCCGTCACAGAAAGACCTCTTCCCCTTCTGCTCCTGCCTCAGCCACTCAGCACCAGATACACTTTGGTAATTCTGTCTGCTGGTTTCTGATCAGATGAATTTATCAGCTCTCAATGTCTCCCCTCCCTCACTAACTGCCTCTTCCGTGATTAAGAGAATAAGCTAAGCACGGACATACAGACATGGAAATGCATTATTTTTTTTTTTTACCACAGTTAAAAAAAAAAAGAAAAAAAAAAGAAAAAATGCACAATCTTTGGAACAAAAGAATTAAAGGCAGAAATTTAAAGGAAAAATACATATTCAAAGAACATAGTGAGGTATAAAAAAGTATTCTCTCTTTTTTTGTGTTTTTTTTTTTTGTTTGTTTGTTTGTTTTTCCTCTTCATCTTGCTATAGAGTTCCTCTACTAGTAAATATTGCAATAGCCAGGCCTCATGAACTGGGGGCTGTCCCACTTGCAGGGGTCTCACGTCACTTCAGTAGGGGGCAAATCGGCTGTAGCCACCTCGGTATAAACTCGCCTGCAGTAATTAAAGACATAAAAATAATTAAATGGTTGATAAAAGAAGCATTAAAAATGAAGACAAATGTTCTAAGAAGATATTTGGGAAAATTTAAAGTCTTAAAACAACTGGTGAAAATGCTGCATTGAGCAATAAAGCCAAACCCCAGCTTCGGCTTTGATAGAGAACCAGAGCCCACTATCTGCATTGCTGACTTGCTATTCTTTCTTTTTTTTTTTTGGAGAGGTTTTTGCTATAGTTTTTTTTTTTTTTTGAGAGCCATTTTTGCTATAGGGAAGTGTGCATTCGCCAGAGAGAGAAAGCGAGAAATCACCCTCCAGGGGGGATGGACACGCCACAATCCCTTGTCCTCCATTCTCCCCTCAGGATCTTGAGCATGCATGCACATGTGCCTGGCGTCAGTTTAAGCCACCGGGTCTGGGACTTGAACCGCGGTCAACTACATGGGAGTCCAGCAACATAGCCATTACGCTAACTGCTGGTCCCCTGACTTGCTATTCTCAAGGTGAGGATGAGGATGAGGACAAGGACGGTTTATTCCATCATTTACACAAATTAGTACAGAAGGGAAACTTAACATGGTTTAAAGCCAGTTCTGGGGACCAGCAGTTGGCATAATGGCTATGTTGCTGGACTCCCACGTAGTCAACCGTGGTTCGAGTTCCGAACCCGGTGGCTTAAACTCACGCCGGGCGCATGTGTGTGCGTGCCCAAGATCCCGAGAGGAGAATGGAGGAGAAGGGATTGCGGTATGGCCATCCTCCCTGGGGGTGATTTCTCGCTTTCTGTCTGTCTGTCTCTTTCTGGTGAGCGCACACGCCCTATAGTAAATACCTCTCAAAAAAAAAAAAAAAAAAAAATTAAAGCCAGTTCTGTAGCAGTCTGATTTTTAAAAGCATGAGTCTTTGTTTACCTTGACACATCATTACAGTCCTACCCGAAAACAGACTCCCCTTCTTTTTTTTTTTTTTTGGAGAGGTTTTTGCTATAGGGCACGTGTGCTCACCAGACAGAGACAGACAGAGAGACAGAAAGTGAGAAATCACCCCCCAGGGGAGATGGCCACGCCACAATCCCTTCTCCTCCATTTTCCTCTCGGGATCTTGGGCATGCATGCACACGCGCCCAGCGTGAGTTTTAAGCCACCGGGTCCGGGACGCAAACCACGGTCGACTACGTGGGAGTCCAGCGACATAGCCATTACGCTAACTGCTGGTTTCCTCCCCTTCTTAAATATAACCTGTGAGCAATATCTAACCACTATCTCTGTCATGTGTTTGAGCTGGTGGCTATATTTAAACCTGAGTCAATCTTTACCTAATAAAGTCTTTCCTTCTATAATCAATATAAATATGTCAACTGTGTTGTTTCTTGGCACACTGGAATTTATATACCTAGCCGCACTTTTTTTTTTTTTTTAACTGCCAGAGGGTACATGTGCTAACCAGAGAATGACAGCGACAGAGAGATGGTGAGGGAGAGGGAGAAAGTATCTCCCAGCAGGGCATAGTCATGCCAGAATCCTTCTGCCTATCAGGATTTGGGGCATGCATACATGCCTAGCACGTCTTCTAAGTTGCTGAGGCTGGGATTAAACCTGGTGGGCATGTGGAATCTGCTCTGATGCACTGTGCTTAACCACTGTGTTGCTGGGTTGGTTGGTTTGTTTGCTAGAGGTACTTGTTCTCGCCAGAGAGAGAGAGAGAGAGGTGACTTAATCTAATAGCCTATCTCTTTCAATCAGAAGTTCCCCAGGAATGTATCATTCCTTGGGTCATTTAATTTTAGAATAGGACTTATCTCACTTTTGCACTAAATACAACCTTATGATCTTCCACTCCTTTATATTGTATGTCTCCACCTCCATTCTAAACATGTAAGGAATTCAAGAGTGTGTGGAGGCCTAGCCTCAGTGGTGCAGGTAAGTAAGTGGTGGGTAGCATGCTGAACCATGTTGCTGGAAACCACATGCCAACCATGGATTCTGGACTGGTCAACCTGGAAACATACTGGGGGTGGGATGGGGTGGGATCATGGTATGATGAGACTTTGTTGAAAGTTCCTGTCTCTGTTCATCTCTTGTATGTGCTCATGTGGTGTCGTGAATAAAATAAACTTTTAAAAGTTTGTGGAGGGGTCAGCAGATGGCATAATAGTTATGTCACTGGATTCTCACATAGCTGACTGCAGTTTAAGTCCTGGACCCGGCGGCTTAAACCTCACACTGGGTGTGTGTGCATGCCATGCCCAAGATCACAAAAGGTGAATGGAAGAGAGGGAATTGCAGGGTGGCCATCCCCCCAGGGCAGTGATTTTTTGCTTTCTGTCTCTCTGGTGAGTGCCCGTACCCTATAGCAAAAATCTCTCTTTAAGGAAAAAAAAGTTTGTGGAAAAATGGAATTAAAGTATGAACTTTATTTTGGTGCAAAAATTTTGAGATTCATTTCAGAAGGTGAATTTTTCCATTTTTCAGTTTCAGAATAGCATTTTCCCATGAACTTTTTAAAGACCCCATGTACATTTCCTAACGATCCTGTTACTTCCTTTCACAGATCTTCGTTGGTAAAATTTAATGTGAGACCAAGTCACTCTCCCACAGTCCTCTGAATCTTGGGCTGCACATGTCATTCTGCCTCGGTCTCAGCTCTGCACACGTTTGGAGCCAGGTCCTGCTGTATTGGACTGGAGAGAATGCCAGGTGTCAGATGTGTCACCATGGACAGCTTGTCTCTGCTCAGGGCTGGAGGCATCCAAGCCAACACAAGAACATTGTGATGAGGATTTGGGTGAGAGGGTTATTCTTGATTAGCTCTGTGGATCTTTTCTACATGTACATCAAAGCCCCCAGAATTTGCCACAACTGTCAGCAATAAAATAACCTCCTAAAGTGTTTGCTGGGAGATTTCTCGTACTATCGACCAGGAGGCTTAGGAATAGATGAGATCTATTTTAGCACCTGCATTTGAAACTTATATGCACTAAGCATTTTTTTTTTTGGGGGGGGGGAGAGGTTTTCGCTATAGGGCACGTGCACTCGCCAGACAGAGACACAGAGACAGAAAGTGAGAAATCACCCCCCAGAGGGGATGGTCACGCAGCAATCCCTTCTCCTCCATTCTCCTCTCAGGATCTTGGGCACGCACGCACACGTGCCTGGCGTGAGTTTTAGGCCACCGGATCCGGGACATGAACCGCGGTCGACTACATGGGAGTCCAGCGACATAGCCATTACGCTAACTGCTGGTTCCTTGCACTAAGCTTTTCGAAACAACTTACTTTGAATGGAGAGCTTTGCGCTCCCAAGTCCACTTAATAAAACTGCCACAGGTGTGCAACTCGCATTTGAACCAACATAAACCATCGACCTGTTCTCTTATTTCTGCCATTACTCAGGGTCAACTGTCACTCTTCATTCCTTTCTGCTGCCTGTAATTAGGCCATGTGGCTTGCACCACCACAGATAAAGAAGGCGACATGGGATTTCCAGATAGACCTCACAGGTCTTTACTACTCTGGCAATGAACAAAGGACCGAATTTATTACCTCCCTAGATCTTTTGTTAGTCTGTAGGTAAACGTTAAAGGAAATGAAATAGTTTAAGACAAAAAGGTACATATACTTACCACAGCGCCAACTCCATAGCTAGCGGCAGGGGCAAGGGCATGGTAGGGGTCGGCTGTGTACACCCTGCCGTAACTGAAAAGAAGAAACACATAATCAGAGCTCACAGAAAGATGTTCTTAAAAAAATGAAAGGGCTTCCTGTGCTAACGGCTTGTGAGTTAGTCTTGGATTATTATCAGGAAACTGGCAAAATGGAAAAAAAACTTTCTACTTCTAAATGTAGTAACAGCAAAATTCTGAAGGATGGCTCTAGAATGGAAAAGAAAGGAGCTGGAGATGAGGAAGGGAAAGACTGTAGTTAAAGCCAAAAAAGAGACAGGGAAGAGAGAGAGAGGAAGGAATGGAAGGAGTCAGTGCTTCGTGCTGCTAGCAGGGAAGATGCCATACAGAGAAGGCCTGCAGGAAACCTAGGCCGGCAGGAGGCCCGATGACTATGTGCTCCGTTGGACATGGCGAGGACAGGAAAGGGGGGTGATGTGGGGCAGCAGAGTGCTCACCCCAGTCACCCCCAGGCTCACCTCTCGCTCTCCGTACATACCCGTCGCTGTAAGCTGCTGCAGCGGCTGCAGCAGCTGTGGCTGCGGTTGCAGTAGCAGGCTGTGCATATCTGTAGGCTGCATATCCACCCTACAGGAGAGAAGAGAACTGACTTTACAGCTACCTCTCCCCCGGGGACAGATAAACACGCACCCACCCACACGCAGACATACACACACGTGTAGACACAGGGACGGACACAAACACAGACACACACATGGGAAGGAAATGTTTCAAACTGCATCAGTCTGCATGTTATTCCTCTAACAGAAAGTTAGGCCCCATCCAACACAGGGATCTGCTTTCCAATTTGTGACTATCAGAAACTATATTGGTAGTATCTGTTCAGTTTAAGAAATAAAGATAGGATTTTGGATCTGTCTTACTCCATAGACTTTGAATTTTAAACAGGGAGAGTATTCACATGTAGCTGAGAGAATTCTGACTGATAATGACTGATAAGGAATGTAAGTTAAAGTTAAAGCATATTAAGTTTTGCATGTGTAAACTTCAGATTCTCTGATGTTACTCAGACTAACTTATTACTAAGAGGCTAAAGTATATACAGGGCGGCCTGACACAGGCCTGTTCTATCCGGCCTGGCACACTTGCCAAGAGCCAAGGTAATCAGACAATATTTAGAAGGAAAAAACCATGTAGACTGGGGGTCAGCAAACTTTGGCCTGTGAGCTAATGCAGCATGCCACCTGTTTTTGAAAGTAGTTGTGACAGAGACCATATGGCCTACAAAGCCTCAAATATCTATCCCTTGGCCCTTTCCAGAAAACGTTCGCCAACTATGATCTATATTTCAGACTCGGGCAAGTCAGATTACAAATGACTCAAGATCCTATGGCTGGATTTAGACCCCAGGAGCCCTGTCCCCAGCATTTCACTGCATTTCTTTATTTTCTCTAACAGGTTTTGGGATTTCTGCACACTAATCTCGTGCGAGACCTGGAGCTTTTCTTCCATGACTCAAATTTTTTCTGTCCTAACGAGTTTCTGGTCACCGCATCGTGCTACTTTACCTCAATTTATTTGAACCAAACACCCTGAAGATTTTCACCTTGGGTTGGTCCATATGGATTCCCTCAGAAAGTATCCCAGACCATCATGACAACAAATGCATGCTACACTGGCCATTTCAAAATGGAAGGCCTAACTTTCTGTTTTCTTTGCCCTTTTAGAATTAATCTGTTCTACTTAACTCTAGGTGAGACCTAGGGGCACTGTTTACTGAAAGCGGCTATGGTCTGTTGGTCTATCTGGACACCATCCTAGCAGTGGACAGTGCAGTTAACTTCTGTAGGTCGAGTGTCCACATCTCAGGGATAGCTGCAGCTTCCCGCCCTGTGCTGTCACGTTCTAATCCTTCCATTGTTCAACTTTTGCTAAATCAACACAAAAATTCAAATTTACTTCTGTGCCACTTCTTGGAATTGAAACAAGTATTTTCTCATGGGACCTCTGCTCTTTATAGCCATCTTTTACAGCAGCGTCTAGCTTTCTTTGACTTCTGTTAACTTTTATCCTGGAAACGCCTATAATTTCTTATAGACTTCTAAAGGTTTCTGCATCTTACATAGTTTATCTTTTTTTTTTTTTTAGAGGTTTTTTTTTTTTTTTTTTGCTATAGGGCGTGTGCGCTCGCCAGAAAGAGACAGACAGAGAGACAGAAAGCGAGAAATCACCCTCCAGGGGGGGTGGCCACGCCGCAATCCCTTCTCCTCCATTCTCCTCTCGGGATCTTGGGCACGCACGCACACACGCCCAGCGTGAGTTTAAGCCACCGGGTCCGGGACTCGAACCACGGTCGACTACGTGGGAGTCCAGCGACATAGTCATTATGCTAACTGCTGGTCCCCATAGTTTATCTTTAATCTATCTAAAGAAACTGCACTGTGAGGGAGACTACTATTGCTCTTCAAGTGTACATAGCCTGGAGTCGTCAGAAGTAGGACCAGATGTACATTAAAAAAAAAAAATCTGATTGGCTCTCAGTGTGTCATATATTATTCCATCTTTGTTTGTTAAGCAAGTGACTCGGAAAGCAACTATTTCCTTCTCAATTATAAATTCTCCTGCAGAAATTCATATAAATAACACAATTCTAACTAATACTACCAAATGCTAGCAATGAAATGGTAAAGAATGAATAAGCCCTGGCAGGAAGAATCCCCCTAGGGGCTCTTGGTTAGAATTCTAGTCAGATCTAGGGAATGGGCAGCCAAGTGATCTGGGCATCCTGGCCACGACATACATGTAACCAAAATATTTCTTTCTTTACCTACTTTTTTTTTTATTTTATTTAAAGCTTCTACAGAAGAAATTAAGCAGGAAAAGCATCTGTTAAAGCAAAAACTGATCACTAGAGTGGACACTGTAAGCTTTATGTGAATCCTGAAGACTTAGTGTTCATTATAACTTGAGTTGGTTCTGCAGGTTTCAAAAGTAAGAGTGTGCAGGATGAAGCTACAGCAGGGCTATCTTTGTAAACAAGGAGATTCGGATTATGTAGCCTGTCCCTTTGTACTGCTCTAAACTACAAAATAATCTTTAAAAATTCAAAAAGTTAAGTTATTAAAAACAGTTCAGGTCAACTCACGTTTAACCTAAGTAAAACATTTAGAAACAGACGTCCTCTGCCTGATAGTAAAGTCACCAGTTCTCACTATAGGATTCCGGGGCTCAGAAGCACTCATCTGAAGGTAGGCTTCAGACCAGACTCTCAGGAAGTCCTGGGGTTACAATCTCCTAAGTATTCTATAGAAATCACAGCTTTGAGTGTAGTTCATGCATACTGAAAAAAAGAGGTTCTAAGAGGAGTTATGAACAGAACCGTTTCCCCTCATGGGGAAATGGATCAGCGAGAAGCCAGCTACCCTGTGGTTTAGGAGTTATGTTACTGCTAACCAGAACCACTCAAATGAATCAGACTGTGGGGGAGAACCTTCCTTCCAACCCAGAAGGAGATGGAGTTTGAAACTGATGAGGTTCTCTGTTGTTCAAGTTCAGGAAAACAGGACAGGGGTGCAAATATTCTGACAACAAAAGGCTTGATAAGAATACCAGCATTAAGAAAAACTGCATTAGGCCCAGCCATGGTGGTGCACTGGTAGTATTACCACTTGAGAGGCTGGAAGCCATGTGAGGCCTGGGTTGGGCTTCTGGGACAATCTGAACATGCCAGGTTCGGTCACATGGGTTTGTAATCTTAGCTAATTGGGAGGCCGGGGCAGGAGGATCATGACAAGGAAGACCCTGTCAGAAACAGCTACATCTCTCTCATAAAGGGAAAACAAAACAAACATAAAATATATATAAATAATTTTTAAAAGCAGATAAAAAATCACTCTAATTATTTTACAAAGGGCATGAGAGAGGGCCCTTTAAAGAGGCTATATTGGGGTTGGCAGGTGACGTGGTGATTAAAGATGCTGGATTCCCACACGGCCGACCACAGCTCGAGTCCTGGACCTGGTGGCTTGCTTTCTTGCTTTCCCTTTCTCTCTCTGGTCAAATTAAAAATAATAATAACAAATGGAATCAAATAAATAAATAATTATCAAAAATAAAAGAGGCTATATTTAGGATGGATAGGTAATACTATCCACTAAACTAATTTGGTAATTCACTAATGACTATCTCCTCCCCACCCCCCAAAAAATTAAATTGTGCAGGCCAGCAGGTGGCGTGGTGGTTAGGGTGCTGGGCTCCCACATGGCCACATGGCCAACCGTGGTGAGAGTCCCAGACCTGGAGGCTTGTTTTCTCACTTTCCCTCTCTCTCTCTGGTGAGTGTGTGTGCCCTGCAGGAAACTGGAAAACAGTAATAATAATAATGATTAAGCAGGAAAAGCATCTGTTAAAGCAAAAACTGATCACTAGAGTGGACACTGTAAGCTTTATGTGAATCCTGAAGACTTAGTGTTCATTATAACTTGAGTTGGTTCTGCAGGTTTCAAAAGTAAGAGTGTGCAGGATGAAGCTACAGCAGGGCTATCTTTGTAAACAAGGAGATTCGGATTATGTAGCCTGTCCCTTTGTACTGCTCTAAACTACAAAATAATCTTTAAAAATTCAAAAAGTTAAGTTATTAAAAACAGTTCAGGTCAACTCACGTTTAACCTAAGTAAAACATTTAGAAACAGACGTCCTCTGCCTGATAGTAAAGTCACCAGTTCTCACTATAGGATTCCGGGGCTCAGAAGCACTCATCTGAAGGTAGGCTTCAGACCAGACTCTCAGGAAGTCCTGGGGTTACAATCTCCTAAGTATTCTATAGAAATCACAGCTTTGAGTGTAGTTCATGCATACTGAAAAAAAGAGGTTCTAAGAGGAGTTATGAACAGAACCGTTTCCCCTCATGGGGAAATGGATCAGCGAGAAGCCAGCTACCCTGTGGTTTAGGAGTTATGTTACTGCTAACCAGAACCACTCAAATGAATCAGACTGTGGGGGAGAACCTTCCTTCCAACCCAGAAGGAGATGGAGTTTGAAACTGATGAGGTTCTCTGTTGTTCAAGTTCAGGAAAACAGGACAGGGGTGCAAATATTCTGACAACAAAAGGCTTGATAAGAATACCAGCATTAAGAAAAACTGCATTAGGCCCAGCCATGGTGGTGCACTGGTAGTATTACCACTTGAGAGGCTGGAAGCCATGTGAGGCCTGGGTTGGGCTTCTGGGACAATCTGAACATGCCAGGTTCGGTCACATGGGTTTGTAATCTTAGCTAATTGGGAGGCCGGGGCAGGAGGATCATGACAAGGAAGACCCTGTCAGAAACAGCTACATCTCTCTCATAAAGGGAAAACAAAACAAACATAAAATATATATAAATAATTTTTAAAAGCAGATAAAAAATCACTCTAATTATTTTACAAAGGGCATGAGAGAGGGCCCTTTAAAGAGGCTATATTGGGGTTGGCAGGTGACGTGGTGATTAAAGATGCTGGATTCCCACACGGCCGACCACAGCTCGAGTCCTGGACCTGGTGGCTTGCTTTCTTGCTTTCCCTTTCTCTCTCTGGTCAAATTAAAAATAATAATAACAAATGGAATCAAATAAATAAATAATTATCAAAAATAAAAGAGGCTATATTTAGGATGGATAGGTAATACTATCCACTAAACTAATTTGGTAATTCACTAATGACTATCTCCTCCCCACCCCCCAAAAAATTAAATTGTGACATTTCTTTTTTACTTTTAAAAAATCTTTCCCCTACATCTTGCAATATATATTTACATCTAAGCTAAGTCCACTTTCACTTAATGCTATGCAATTCTGTGGATAGTATAGTACCTCATGATTAGTCTAATTAATCCCAATTTATCCCTCATGATCATTATCATATTGCTGTCATTGATTTTCCTGTCCTTCCCTGCCTTCCTGAGAACTAATTCCCACTGGTCAGTGTCCTCAGATTGAAAGGCTTCAAACCAGGGCCAGCAGATGGTGTGGTAGTTAAGGAGCTGGACTCCCATATGACCAACTGCAGTTTGAGTCCCATTCCCATTAGCTTGAAACTCACACTAGGTGCTTGTGCATGAGTGCCCAAAATCTCAGGAGGAGAATGGAGAAGAATAAATTGCTGGGTGGCCATCCCCCCAGAGTGTGTGTATGTGGGGTGTTTTCTCACTTTCCCTCTCTCTCTCTGGTGAGTGTGTGTGCCCTGCAGGAAACTGGAAAACAGTAATAATAATAATGATAAATAAAATTAATAACTAAAAAAATAGATTGTGTATTATGGACTTAACTCCTTTTAGATAAATTCTTACTCCAAAGTTATCCTGCTGCTGCCTAGTTATTCAACAAAATGTATCATAAAATGTTAAGATGAAAGAAATTCAGATACATTTATTTTTATTCCAGATCTCAGAGTACATACATTTTTCAGAGTGAGAATCTGTTTTCTCAACTTTCACTTCTGCTAGCCAATCTGCGGGCTTTTATGAAACATGAGAACACAGTGCAGTTTGAAACACCAAGGTTTTCATTACTGTTTCTTAAGTTTTTCAAAAAGAACAAGAGTGGGGAGGAGGTAGGAGAGACAGGGCTCAGGCGTGGGGAGGGAAGATGGCGCCACATTTATTAATCACATTAAAAACTAAGCATGCCAACATCTGGAGCTAAAACAACCAGCAAAATCACCACGTTCAGACTCGAATTGGCTAACTCTATCTATCCCAGCATTCTCTTGGGACAGCGGTTTGCCCTAGGCTCTACCACAAGCTCGGTGAAGTACACAGCCTCAATTACTAGAGCGTGCAGCCACAACGACCTGGTATTACGGAAACAGTCAGTCACCACTTGAGTTAACATTCCAGACCCTAACAGCTGGCCCCTCCCCAGCCCAGAGAAATAGTAAATCTTGCCCCCCCTAGCCCTGGCCCACACCACAATGTTAATAATTATAACAAGCAGTAACCCATCTGTTATATCAGAGAAGGGAACAGAGACTCCACTGAGAGATTTAGAGTGAGATGTTAACATTTCTTCAGCTGACTGCACAAACAAACAAACAAAAAAAGAGGAGAAATAATTCATTTGGAGATATGAAGTCATGAAATAGCTGATGTATATTGCTTTTAACCATGCACTGATGCAAAACTGAAGCAACCATTAATAATAAAAATTAAAAAGGACATATGTATTTACACACAATCAGACCTGTTTGATCTGAAGCAGTTTGCAGATTCTATCTGTGTGTGATTTGAAATAAAACAAAAAATGGGGATTAGCATGGCCACAGCACACCCTGATGTAGGAGGGCACACACGGACAGCTTTTGAAACTCTAACCGCTGGGTAAATTGGGCACGGCTAAGCCTGATTCGAATACACACAGGCCCCTTGCAAGCAATGACTTTCTTACTCCCTTGTCATTTACCCTGTATGTCTCCTGGCATTCCCAGTTGGGGCAGCCCGGGGCCTACATCACTCCCCTACCCCACCTGCCTGGCCTGACAATGGAATGCGGTACCGGTACCGACCCATAGCACTCACTTGCGTGCTCGCCCTCTGTCAGCGACCACAGATCCTGATCCAGTGTTCTTCTCAAATGGTTCCTATACTTAGGAATTTCATTTTCTCACAGTATAACATAGCGCTGCCTTCACCTTCTAGCTTTTTCCAAGGAAAATGTCTTTGTGAAGTTGCCTTTATGCTCCTTTCCTGTAGTGTTGCCTGAAGTTGTTAAAGTCTTTGTTTCTAAGGCTCAGTGTTACTTCCTAGGGAATTTTTTCCTAGTCTGCTCTGAATCTATTTTATCATCTAATTATTTCTGTAATGTTGCCACGCTGACCACATGGCTTTTCTGCACAGGTCTATAGCTGTGTTTTACAAAACTGCAAGACAGAAGGGTTCCAGATATCATCCCTCCTCTATCAGACTTTTATCTGCATATCTCTTAGTCTAATCTTACACTGGAAGACTTCTGTCTCATCTTGATTTTAAGTTAGGCTTTCATTTTATGACATTTTTTGTTTTGGGTTTACATTAAAACAGGACTTTGGTGAGCATGTGATGTCAAGACAACTTCTTTCTACCTGGAAGACAATGACATTATGTGACACTGAGGAGGAGAGTGTGTGTATCAAGACCAGCAGACAAAATGAAAGCTCTGTTACCTACATGTAGTGTCTGGATCAATAGGGCAAGCGGGGATGGCCGGTGCAATGCTTGAAACTGCTACAGCAGAGCAGATGCCTACTAACTGGCGTGGACCTACTGCTGGGCTTCTGGGAATCACTTGACCTACTCTTAGATGCTTCAAATTCCCTCTTTTCCCTTACCACCTCCCCATCCCAGCTAAGAACCACTGTTCTAGGAGACATTATAGAGATCTTATACATAAATATGGTACCTTTGATTAAATGGGAATAACACGGATGGGAATACAAAACTTGTGATAACAGTAATATTGTTACTGCTTTGACTGAGAGACTTATCTACTTTGAAAAGTAGTTATTAAAAAAATTTAAAAGAGAAATATTTAAAACTTATCTTATTATTTAACACTGGGGTTAAGGGAAGAAGCTGTTATGATTGATTTGTATCGTTCACTTACTACATCCAGGACAGATGAGGGATGATCTTTAATGAATCAAATCTCTCAAATACTTTACTATTCTCTATCTCCCTAAATTAATTCATTTCCAAAATCATGCTGATAGCCACATAAACAAACAAACTGAATTGTGAAAGTCACTGGCTGTCTTCTTCCTCCTAGAATCCAGTTACCAGCAAATCTCTGGCAAGTGCACTATTTTCTGGAAACACTCACTGGTCTTCCCAGGGAAAGGAACAGTGGGTGAGGGAAGTGCACACCTCAGTTTAGAGTCCTACCCGTCTGCTTGCTAGGGCAACTTCAACCGTGCAGAGCTGCACAGGCCGATGACAGCTAGGCTCTCCCTGCAGGGCCAGTGTGGGCTCAGCGGTGCTTACTAGGCAGAGGCCCTCCTCCCTTTCCTCATCGCATTCACACTATGCAGGAAGAAAAGGTCCCGACTGCTCAGATCTCTGATATCAAAGACCAGTTTAAATACCGCAGGCAAATGTGATCGACAAATTAAGAGGTGGCAGTGATGGGACAGTGTGTAGAACACGCCTGGTAGGGGACATGTGGCAATGGGACAGGAGCACTTAATTTTAGAGGAAGTGCCTTTATGTACGGACGTGACTGCGTGCGCTGCTGACATAGCAGGGCTTAGCTCACACGCTCGCAAGTCGCGATTGTCCAAAAAAGCCTCTGTTCCCATCTCTAACGTGGAGCTGGAATGGTTAGTATAATTCAATTTTTTCACTGCAATCCACAATCTGATTGATTGGCAGGTCACACTGGCACTCCTACCTGAGGTATTTTAGCGCTAATGATTGGTTCCTGTAAGACTATTCTATAACAGAACACAGGAAGAGCAGTTCAAAAAACACAGCTGTGGAAGGAAAACAATCATACAAAAAGCCCACTAAGGGGCCCACCAGCCTTTTCTTTCCTTTGGATGCAAGCATGCTTTTCACAGGATGAAAATCAGGAGTTTGTTATCCCATTGGAAAAGTGAATTAGGGGAAACTATGCCTTTCCTACTGGTCAAAAAAGGAAGAGAGGTGAACCCAGTCTATCTGCCACACGCCAGGCCGTCACGGCAGGAGGGACAGGGTGTGCTGGTCTCTCCAAACTGTGGACACGATCACTAGATCAATTCCCCAGAAAGGCATGTGCCATAAAAGCAGCAGAAAGGAAGAAAGTGGCTAGCAGGGATCACTGTCTAAAAATGGAGGCCTCCACAATTCGCCTAATAGAATACAACTTCAGCCACACTAGCAACTTAAACTCTTTCC